TTAAAAAAAAAAAACATGTATATATATATAGGTATATACATATCCATGATAACACGTAGAAGTACGAGAATCATCAATGACACCGTGAAGATTATTTTCTTCCTGGAAAATTCTTGCAGAAATGCAACAGTTTTCCCTCCTCCCTTTCTCTTTCCCTTTTTTTCATTGATTTTATATATGTTTACATTAAAACTAATATTGACAACTGCAACAGCAACAATAATAAAGAGAATGAATAATAATTGTAATAATCATAAATAATAGTAGTAATAACAACAATAACGAGAAGAAGGCAATAAATAAAAAACAACACATAAATTATTCCAAAATTATCATTATAATTATAACACCATTACTTCTTTGCATTTAAATCTCAAAAATTTTACTTTCAACATTTCATCTTTTCATTTACAAAAAAAAAAAAACACCGAAGCATTTTTTCCTTTTACCCTCTCTGTCTCCCTCTCTCTTTCCATTTCTTTCTCTCTCACATCCTGTTTACATTTTACTCAATTTTTTTATTTTTCGAAAAATTTTTTGCAAATTTCTTCAGTGAAGTATTTATATGAAGAAGAAAATGATGAAAATAAAATGAAACATCGAAATCACTTTTATTATGCTTTTTTTTCCTTCCAATTTATATTCATGCATTTGTTAAATTTCTTCCGCATATTAAAAATTTAGGTGATGACGAAGGTAAAGAAAAAGGTGGGAAGGAGATGAAGAAAAATTTACATATTGAATTTGTAAAAAAGTTTATTTGAACTTGTTCAGATACAGTAATTAACAAAATCTAAATTTATGATCTTAATTTATTTTTAAAACTGCTAATTTTTTATAACAAATGATTTAGAAATGAATTGTTAAATTTGACTGTAAAAATTACTTCATGAAAAATTTAAACAAAAAGAGAAAATGAATAATTTGAAAATAACATTCTTAATTTGACCAAACGGTTCAAGAATAATGAAATCATTATCAATCTTATTCATAAATGATAATTGAATATACTGATAAATCTGTTGTCTTACCGGAAAATTATTTTGTTAAAAAAATGGACATGAAAATAAGAGGGAAGAAGTGAGATTATATACAAACAAATAAACTAATAATAATCAGAAAAAGCTCACAAAAGTATTAATTGAGAAAATTCTCATCAAATTTTATCAATTTATGCTTTTTTTTTGAAGAATAAATTTCAATTCTTTTATATGTTGCAAATGTATTTCAGTAATTTGTATGATCAATGCAGCAATTAGCTTCAATTGTTCCTGGTATCCGATTTGTAAATTAGAAATATCCGAATAAAGATGGTTGAAATAGCATGTAATTGGATGAGAGGAAGGAATTACAATTACAGTGTAAATTTATGAAAACTTGTAAAGAATATACAGCTGTCATATAATTTTCAGTTAGCTTTTAAAATCAATGAAACTAAAGTCAGAAATTTGATTCTGACGATTAATTTAAATGTTACGGAGGATTGAATAATTGCAATCAGAAATTGATACCCAAAAATGAATTCCCATTTTATTTATTACTTTTTTTTTCTTCTTTTCTGTTTATTTCTTCTTCAATTTTAATTAGATCGATAGTAATGTGCGAAAGAATTTGATAAAATATACGGTAAAAATTGTGTGCATTGTTAACAGATGGAAAAATTACAATTTCATTCAGATTTCTTTGTTAATACATTTATTGCGCATTGATGTGATGCGTTTTATGTTCATGATTTCATCGTTTTATCATTTCATGCAAGATGAATAATCATATTGATGATTCGGTGATATGAATCATTCGTTGATTTATGAAACGAAGAAATTTCATATTTTTTTTTCAACAATTTCAAATCCTTTATTTTTCACAAAAAAAAATGAATTTATATTTTATCAGAGAAAGGAAAGAAGCGATAGTCGCTGTGTTATTTAAACATTTAATTATGATAATTTCGATATGATTGAGCAATCAGAATCGTTCAATGGAAGATATGCAATGCAACATATTCCACGGTGTATTCCGCAATTTCTCCGATCATCCGATCATTCTTTTATTCATTTATCCATCTGGTTTATCACAAATAATTTCGATCGTTTAATTTGAAATTTTAAAATTTTATTTGATATTTTTGAAAAGAAAAAAAAAATAGATAATACATGTACAATGCAATTATTGTCATTTCTCGAACCTTCGAATAATGCAATATTCAATGGTAATTTTTTAGCAAAGCTTCGTAAAAAGGTAAAATTTGAGTTTAAAAATTACTTCTGAATATTACATTATTTGACTTTTTGAGAAAATTTTAGACTATAAAATTATATGAGCTGTAGTAACAAAAGTAAAGTAGCAATAATAGTAACAAATTTCCATCATTTGCAGTAAAAAAAAAAACTTGCCCGTCCATCACTATCATTCGTTATTTCTTTCAATTCTATTCCCCATGAGACAGTTAACTTAATTAATGAGTGAACTCCTCACTCTAACTTATTCTTTAAGTATTTATAGTAAGCAAGCAACAATTCGTCATTATAACACACAATGAAATAATTCAAAATCTTTGTTTTCAAAAACTTGAAATTGATGCAATCTTCTTAGTAAGAAGTTCTCGGAAAGATTAAAAATGAAAAATTTGAAGCAACAGCAACAAGCAACACGGATAACAACAAGAACAAGAATAAAAACAATATCAAGAATAAATATCAAATACAATAACAAGAAGAAGGATGATAAGAACGGACACAATAACAACAGCGACAACAACAATAACAATGATAATTACAATAGCAAAGATTATCAAAGAAGAAAAATTAATAAAATAAAATGAAAATTTGCAGCAATAATATGAAATGCTATAGATTAGTCAATTTAATGTAAGAATAGAAGAAAAATTAGTTAGGAGGATGAAGTAGATGTTGATGTTTGGCTCATAAAAAGGGTTTGGCCTTGGCCATAATAAGAAATGTGAAAGAGCAAAGAGAGGAAGAGGAGAAGAAGGAGAAGGAGAGGAGAAGGTGGAGAAGTATGAGTAGAAAAAAAAAAAGCATTCTGATGCCTAAAAGTAGTAGTGGCAACAGAACCAACTCGTAAGCGGTTAGTTAATAGTGACTATTTGTGTGAATTTATTTATTTAGTTTGGTTTTTTTTTTTTCCTCCACCTCTTTTTATCATTTCTCTCTATTAACTCTTTGTCCTTTTCATCATCAATTTTATTTTTAATGAAAATATAAAGATTATTATTTTTGGAGTAAAAGAAGAAGACAAAAAGAAATGCGTGAAATATTATCAAATGATGATGGCTATTCGGAACGTATTCTACCTGGTACATCATCATCAAAATCAACAACACCTCCATTGGAACCACATGGTCGAAGTAATAGTACCATTAGTATGCCAAATGCTCCGCTAACACCTTTCATTTCAACCGGTCGACATCGTCTTCTACCGCAAACACCAGCATATCATATACGTCGTTCATCATCACCCAGATTCCTTCCAACACCACCACTACCACCACCATTAACATCAGGAACTGTTACTGCTGTATCCGATTTTTCTCTCTATAAACGATCAACAACATCCGGAAGACGTCTTCCACAAATACCAATTCATAAAGATTCCAATCGATTAATTGCTGATCAAAAAACGAGTACCTCAATAAGACAACAATATTCAACTAATGCTAATATTGATGTTGATAATAACACTAATACAACCGGTAATATTGGTGATAATGAATGGCCATCACCAACAATTTTACAACGAAAATTTTCCGAATTACAAAAAATTTCCCAAACTGATAGCAATTCAATATCAAAGTTATTTAAAAATTCTTCATGTGGCACTTCGTTACGATCATTGCAACGATTATCATTCCTAAAACAACAACATCAACAACATCACCATTATCATCATCAACAACAACAAGACGAAAAATTAAATCATCCACAGTATTCATTAGATCATTCAAGTGGCACATCAATTAGTACAAATGTTTTCTCACAAAGTTCATCATTATCACCGTCCGTTGAACAGGTTTAGATTAATCAATTTTAATCATCCTTTATAATTTAAAATCATGAAGAAAAAGAAATGATTTTCAAAAATTGAAAGTTTAATTGTTTCAAGAGTAGCTGCATAAAAATAAGAAAAATTTGAATATATTGTTAACAATTGGCTTGAAAAATTAAAAGCAAACATGATAAAACTGACTTCAATTTTAATTATTCATTTTTGCAGAAATCATTTTGTGAACTATATTTTTTGCGCTACAACATGTGTAATTTGAGGAGAATTAGGTTGATAAGCATTGATGTTTTATTTTTAATTTCAGTATTGACAAATTTTTTAGATGTAAAACAAAAAATTAGGAAAGTTCCATCATTAAAACACTGCGTGATATAGCCATTCAACAAATAACAACAAATTATATGACTTTAATATAGTTGGTTAAATTTAAAGTTTAAAATTATCAAAACGTCAAAGTCTAAATCTTTCATTCTTTAAATTATACATTCATTTCATAAATGTTAAATGATATAAAGTTTTTTAGGCTTCACTCTTTTGAAAATCCTACCCACGTTTTAGTTTAAACGATAAGTATTTCAATTCAAAATTCTGCTTTCTTTTAAACGAAATTACTGAACATTGTTTCCACTTACGTCAAGTGCAAATGCATTAAGTATATATAAATATAAATGAATAAGTGAAATAAGTGATGTTAAGTAAGAATTAAGCAAATAGATATTTCTTTCATATTGAACACAAAAAAAATCCTTTCTTCACCAGCTTGTCTTTCATTCTTTTGCTGGCATTTCTTACATTTAATTATTTGATTGAAATTAGACTTCGTGTATTCAATTCCGTGATAAATTATTTTTCAATTTCTTTTACAAATGCTTTTGCGATGCTTCCCCTGCATTTATTCATCCTGCCAATTCTTCCCAGCTTTATCTGTTACCAATCGATTTAAAAAATAATTCCAAATTTCCTCCATTCAAGAATTCAATTGAAATTAAAATTTATTCAATACTATTACAAACCTAATGTCTTTCTATTTTCAAACAGAAAAAAATCCATTCAACATTATTAAAAACTTAATATCTTTCTATTTTCAAACAGAAAAAAATCCATTCAACATTATTAAAAACTTAATGCCTTTCTATTTTCACACTATAATACTTAACTTCATCATACATTCAAATTTCCTTCCAAAACTTTCACTAAATTTATAAATATTTTAGCAGTGTTGCATTTTCTTTGCTAGCTTTTAAGTAACAAAAACACACATAACCTTTTTTAAGTTATTAGAATTCTGAGAAATATTTAATACTATTCTTATATCGCTATATATTTTTAATTGACCAAAAATATTTTTTTTCCTTTTCTTTTCAATTGACATAAATCAAATTTTTGTCATATATTGAATATTTTTTTTTATTTATGAATATCATTTTTCATGCTATACTGTGTAATCATGAAATTTTCCAAAATATTTTGCAGTGCTAATAAATGAAAAAGACAGCGTTAAATTTTAATGATACATAGCTGAAAGTTGTAAAGTATGAAACTGATGAAAATAAATTTAAGTCGTTACTCTCACTTATCTGCTAGCAAAGCTTTTTATTTCATTCTTTATTGCAGCACGAATGTTCTCTTTTTCTTTTCTTTCTTTTTCTTTCTCATTTTAAGCATTTTTTTTAATCCGAATTTGAGTAAATTTATTAAGTTTTGCAAAATAAAAAAGAAAGGAAAAGATTTGAGATTAAATTTTTACTTTGCTTAGAAGATTAGAACTAACAAAGGAGACGAAAAGGTTTGATGAATTGGAAGCGTTTAAATTTCAAATTGTTTCCTTGAACATTTATTTCAATGAGTGCATTATAGCGAGTTTCAACGACAAGAAAAATGGATATATACTAAGGTCATTTAACTATTTTTAGACTTCTACAAATTACTTTTTTTTTTCTAAACCAAACCAAATAAATTATAAATGGATAATTCAATTTTGGTCACATTATTTTTCATATAAATCAGTCAATCCAAATTAATGGAATAAGTAAGTAAATAAACGAACAAATAAGCAAACAAATAAACAAAGCAATGAATGAATCATTTCCACAAATATTGCGCATATTTTAGAATTAGCACAGACAAATTTTTTGCACAACAAAATATTGCGTCATTAATAATTCGTGAATTGAAATGACATTTTTCCCTTTTCGTTCTTTTTTTCTTGTGCGTTTCTTTGCTGATTCAAAATAAATGAAAAAATTAGGGTTGAATACAATAAAACAAAAAAAAAAAGAAAATAAAGAACAGAAAAAAAAAGGAAGCTAACCCAAATGAAATTGAAAGCATAGGAAAGATGAAATAGGACAATATGTGGTCTGCTCTTAAAGCTTCCTTTTGCATACCACTTTGGGTAGGTTTAATTGATTTCGTTTTGTTTCTTTTCCTGTTCCTATTTTTTTTTTCTTTATTGCTATTGTTATTGGTAGAACAATAGCAATAAATATTACTGTTATTGTTATTATTTACAATTTGATAAAATTATCATTATCAATTACATTCTCTCTTTCTCGTCTTTCTTTCATTCGTCCATTTTTCTTTTTCAATTTTCTAGCAGATAATTTGTGCATTTATAATGTATGATTTTTTTGCAGTTATTTTTTTAAAAAATTTGCTTTTTATTATAAAAATCGATAATTCACACATGAATGTTTAGCATCAAATTGGCAAAGTTTCTGCTTCACTGATAAATGATGATGATTGCATTTCTTTTAAGAGTTTCTTTAAGAAAAAGGAAAAGAAGGGAAAGAAAAATGACAAAAAATTTTCAGAAGTTTGTTGTATGATTCCAACAGATGGCATTTTCAGGTTCATATTTTATTCTAAAATGTTTCCTTATCTAAAAATTTTCATTTGATTTTCTCATGCGTTTAATTGGAGTGAGCAAATAATTTAAAATAAAGTTGATAAATATTTGCCTTAAAAAGAATAATTTTTAAAATGAAAAATATATAAGCAAAAAGAGGACGGCGAAATTCTCGAATTGTTTGTAAATGAAATCAATACACGGAAATGATTGGCAGTGAATGATATAAATGATAAATTAATATTTTGGATATGTACTATAAATTTTTGTTTTTTCAAGAAAAAAATCGAAATTTTTTTGGAAAAAAAAGCAAACATCTTAATAAATCAATATTTTTTAAAATATATATTCAATGTGTGAAATTTCCTTCATTTCAAAATTTAAAAAATATATATCTGAAAGAAAAAGAAATTTAAGGTATTATCAGTGAAGAAAATGGCAATAACATTTTTATTCATTTATACTTTTCCTAGAAATATAAGAGAACAGTTTTTTAAATTTTATTTTGAAAAGTTAAATCAATTTTTTTTAGGTTCTCATTCGTAACTATCAATTTTATTCATATTTATTGTGTAATGTTTATATCCAACCATCTATCCATACATATATATGTGTCTATGAGGAAAAATTGATAGACGTCATTGAAAATTTCAAAAGCTTTCAATGATTCATAGGGGAAAACAAGGCGTTATAATGAATTTACTTAAATAATTGAATTCCTAAGCAAGAAAAAGACACCCACTTAATGTAGATCAAAAATCACAAACTTATTATCAGGCCTATTTTGCGATACACAAACAAATTATTTGCGTCAGTTCTGTTATTCATTGATTACATTTTACCTCAAATTGATTTAATTCATAAATTATTTCAATCACAAGTTTGTCAGTACTAAACTAAAGCAAAAGGAGCAGCTGAATGATAGTCAATCTTTACATTCATCCTTTTTTACAGTAATAAATGTCGCATTTTTATCAATTTCGTTTTCCTTTTTTTTCTCTAATTTTTGAAAATTTTGAACTTATTATTTGAATTTTATGTTCGATTGAATGAATTCTTAAAATAAGTTGAAAAATTTTTGTTCAATGAGTTTAAATGCTACAATAAGTGACTAAAAAAGAATGAATTTTTTAAATTTATGCTTTTGCAATATTTTTTTTTCTTCACGATGTTTGCTAAAATTTTAAGCATAAAATGAAAAAAAAAATAGAAAAAAGATTACGTTGCTGATTTTTTTCTTTATTTTCTAACTAATTAAAAATCAGTTTTTGTTTTTTCTTTCTAAACTCAATCCATTTTTTAAGAAATTTCTTTTTTTTTTTAACATTTTAGTAATAAGAGTAGTGTTTTTTGGTGTTTTTTTTTACGAGTAATGTTTTTTTGATGACAAAAATTTGTAGTTAAATAAAAGCAACTTTTTTTGTTTTGGAAAAAAGTAAGGGAAGAAAAATACAATTTTGAATAAATTTTAAGAAAACAGACAAAATAATTCTTCATATTTCTTTCAAAAAATTTTGCCTAAAATTGAACAGTTTTAAATAATAATTAAGCAAATTAGTTAAAAAATTGCATATACCTATTAATATGATTTATTTATTTATTTGTCTCTGATAATAATTCTTTTCATTTCTGAAAAAAAAAATTATTAGGGGAATTGCTTACTTTCCTTTTTAAATTGCTTTTTCTATTATTTTTCTATTATTCAGCTTAATCTGCAATTCTTTCTCGGTTTCATCATTATGTCTAATTGTGCGATAAAATTTCCAGTCCGTCAGTTAAATATTATTGAAATTAGATTTTCCACTTTTTCATTCATTGGTATTACTAATTTTAAAGAGACCAAATTTTTCATTTGATTTATAATGTTAAAAAAAAGAAAGTAAAAAATAATCATCATTATTTCTTCCTCTTATTTCTCATTTTTTGTCTTCTCTTTGAAAGTCCATCCGTTTTACTTCTTTTATTAAAAAAAAATTTCTTTATAAAAAGGGAACGGAAAATGAAAGAAAAAAAAACTGCTAATCAAAATTTATTCATCATTGTAGTAAATGCGTACATTCCAGCTACTCTCTCTTAATTAAACTATACTTTGTCAAATTTTTATAGCATTTGCTAAATGTTGTCATCACATTTCAATTATTAGCTAACATTATTAATTTATACTTATTTACCTACCTGTACTAGTAAGATTTTCAAGTTTGATAAATATCTAAATAATTTTTATATTTCATTTTACATGCTTCGTTCGATTATTGAGTATTATATGGAATTAATAATGCATTACATTAATCACTTCCCAAAAGAAATTAATGGAAATTTAATAAGTGCGCAAATTATCAAATTGTTGACGAAAGTCAATTTTCCTAAGTTTTCAATTTATTCATCGAAGAAATGTTTTGTGAATGTGTGTGTGTGTGTGTATGTGTATGTATGTGTATGTTTGTGTATGTTTGTGTATGTGCGCGTGTATGTGTCTGTGTATGTGTGTATGTGTTTTTATGTGGGCGTGTGCGTCATTTTCCACCATTTGTCTCTTTTAAGCTTTATTTCTGCACTAGAAAAAAGGCCTTTAATTATAGATAAGTATAAGAGAAATGAACAGTGACAAAAGCGATCTTTCAATCTTAAATTCACTCAAAAATGTAAACGAAAATGAAAAATTCATAAAATTGAACAAACAAATAAGAAATATGGACTAATAAGTGTGTGGGGATTTTTTTTATTTGAAAAAAATACGTGAAAATTAACAATTACAAATTACAAAATTAACAAATAAGTTTTGATAACATTTTCAGCTTATCGATTTATATAATTATATTTTGTTTTTTTTTTTTGTTCAACACCATTTTCTGCATATTTTATTAAGCAAATGCAATAATTCTTGCTTAATTTAAGCCTTGAGTTCATCTGATCATTATTTCAAATTATTCAATTAATAGACGAAATATTATTTTCACAAATTTTTTTACAATTTATAGGAAAAAAGAAGCTGATTTTATTAAAATTGAAGAAAAAAAATTGCTTATTTTCATTCAAAAATTTGTTCTTCAAAAATTGGATTTCTTTATGCTTTTCTGATAATTCATTTTTTCGTTGAAATTTTTTCAACTATTATAATTTTAATAATTCCCAATAATAATAATTCAATTTTTCAACAAATTTTTTGAAATAGCAAAATTTTGATAATTCCCAAAAGCGAATATTGTGAAATATTCCAAATTTTTTATCAATTCTAAATCACTAATTATGTTGAAGACATTATGCAAAATACACCTTTATCTGCAGCTGATTCACTTGCAAACAAATTCTGTTTTATTAATTTACATCAATCAATGAAAAAATAAAAATTCAAAAATTAATTCAAAAAATAAAAATACAAAAAAAAGCGAAAAAAGAATAGCAACAAAATGAATGTGCAAAGTAGTTTAGCTAACAACAAAAGTAAAATAGCTAAGCGATTTTCGCGTAAATTAGCTCAGCGAATACAATTAGTTAATACTATAAAGCCAATACTGAAAATATCGCTTATTATTAAACCAAAAAAAAAAAAATTATGTAATAATAATAAAATGATTGATAAATTTCGGGATTTATTGATTGCCCATTCATCCTCAAATATGCTTTGTTCTTAAATTACGAAGCAATTTTGAAAATTTCATTTATCTTTTTTTTCATTTTGTTGCCTCCAATTTTTTTTTTTTTTGTTCCTCTTATAAAAAGACGGAGAATGCAACGAATATGTTTTTGGATCATTTTTTTTTTATTTATTTATTCTTTTTGGAACAAAATTTTTAAATATTATAGTCAACAAGCTTTTCATTGCCATATAATTTTTTTTTTTTTTGAAAAAATGAAAAAAAAAGAATTGACAGAAAATTTGATTAAATTTTCAATTTTTTTCTGAAAATGTAGTAAATTTTTTACATCGAATTTTAGTTTGATTAAATTTTTTTCAATTTTTTCTGAATAAATTTTACATCAAATTTTTTTTTTTGGATATTTTTTGCAATTGAAGTGGAAAAATTTATTTTTAGCGCTTACATAAATTAAACTCATAATTCATATGCAGAGCAATTGTACGTTTTTTCCCTTCCAAAATAAATGAAGCAAAATTTAGCAAATTTTTAAATTTTCAAAATTTTCCTTGTAAAATTTCAGTTAACACATAGTAACGATGTTGAAGAACATGAAACGCATGGAATCAATTCATCACTACATGAACAAGGTGCTGCGACTTCATATAGTTCGGTACCAGATATCCCGAGGAAATCAACGGTACGAACAAGCAGCTCATGGCCCGAAAATGAACCAAGGCCAACGGGTCTGGGCCTAATACATTGCTCATTGCAGCATTTCCCGATTAGGAAACGTCTTCGAGTTTCGCTTCTGAAAGCAGAAGGTTGATAATTTGATATTTCACTATAAATTTAAATTTGAACTTTCGTTTTTTTTAAGTTTTGAAAAAATTATTGTATTGGCTTGTATTTGATTTAAAAATAATTGTAATTTTCTGTACGAATTACCTTATGTGAAGCAATTCGTTTAAAATTCAATCATTTAAATTAAGAAAGATATTAGTTTTTTATCTTTTAGAATTACTTCAAGACAATTTATAAAGCATTGCTGTTAGCAGGCAATTTGTGGAATTATAATTTAACTGATAATAACCGTTAAATTTCCTTTTTTAATAGCTTAGAAGGATTTAAATTTTCATCTTTGATTTAAATTTTAACGAATTTTTTATTGTGTATTAAACAATTTTCCAAGAAAATGTTCTTCCTTATTTTTATTCCAACTCGTTAAAAAAGATTGCTTTTTTGTCTTTTTTACTTATAATCAAATTCATTTTGATCATCAATAATTTCATTGTTAGCTCTAAAATGAATTTAATTTCCTTTTTAATTTCACAAACTTCAATATTCAAAAAAAAATACTTGCTTATTCGACTATAAATCTCTTCACAAAACATTTCAAATTGAATAAAATGGAATTTTTCCTTAAAATTATTTCTTCTAAATTGACAAACAAAAAAATCATTTGTCGATTATCATTCAAAATTTAATTCATGAGTAACATCGTTTTTTATATGGAATAATGAATTTTAAAAAATATTAGATCGTTCAGTCAAAATCACCCTATTCCTATTTGACTATTTCATTTCCATCGATGTTTTTCCACATCTCATCGGAATATTTCGTGGTTTCACGGGAGATTCATGAAGATATTTATTTACCGTTAGTTGACCGGAAAATAAATAATACTGAAATAACAAACATGATGGAAGCCGTTTTTTTGAAAAATTGAATTGATAGTCAACCTCAGGAATAATTCCCATCACATTTATTTTTCATTCTAGAAATTATCATATTTCTATTTCGTATTCATTTTTAATTGGATTTTCTTTCAAGCAAATTTGAATTATTAACTAGGAAGAGGAAAATTATATCTTGAAACATATACCTATTTTGTTTATTTATTTGTTTATTTTAATGTGCTTTATGAGATCCTGAACAATATAGATTGAATCATTGAAATTCTAAAAAAAGCGCAAAACAAAACAAGAGAAAATATTGAAATTAAAATTTTTTTTTTTATTAAATTTATTGCACTTTCTATTCCAAATAAGTTACAGTTTAAATTTAAGGCAGTGAATTTGATAAAGCTTTGCTAAAACAAAATATTTAGGTTGTTTTAATAAAATGTAAAGAAGAATAACTTATAAAAGAATTGTCCCTCGAAAGAAATTAAAGATTATATTTGAAAATTTGGAGGAAAGTCTGTGCTATAAACAACTGCTCAAAGAGTTTAAACGTATAATTAGCTTTACAACATATTAAATGTATACATGTGCATGTTGATAATTAATTAACATATATCAAAGTAGCGTTTCAGGATTGGCAGGTAAGTTAAAGCCTGAATTAGAGATTCACGCGTTTTGCAAAATAACGTTGTTACCGAGCGGAAAGTCACAGAATTCAGTCGTAAAACGTGGACGTGATGTTGCATTTAATCAGGTTATATAAATATTTAATAACAATGACAATATTGATAGTAATGTTGACAAAATGTCAATTTTCCGTGACAAACTTTTTGGGATGGTACTTTGAATTTGTGAAAAAAAATAAAACATTTTTTTGAGAAAATTTATTCAATAAAATTAAACAATTAAGCATATAGATAGTATGATAGTAATTAATGATCAAAATTTTTAAAGTTTTTATTGCCTTCTATAATTACTTTTTTGCAAGCGAAAAGAAAAAAAATACGAGATGCTTTCAAATTAAAAAAAAATTTTGTTTCTAATTTTTCTTATCAATTTCATGCGTTGAAAAAATTAATTATTTTTATAAAATCCTAATTAACATCATTTCATGATATAATAATATTATTTGGCAAGGAAGCTCAGAAATTTAGCTTTTTCACTTTTTATAAATGAGCTTAGTACAAGTAAAATCAAATTTCGAAGTAATAAAGGCTGAAATTGAACAAAAGACTAGAGGAATAGAGTATTTTTTGGAAGATCTGCACTCGAAATTAATAGAAAAACAGGTTTCTATTATAATTTTAGATTGCTTTCCGTGACCTGCTGATCAACAAATAAATCCAACTGATTTAATGAAAGTTAAATGAATGAATGCTTCTTTTCATGCTCAATTTTTCAAAATTTCAGAAAGGTCTAATAACTTAATGGCATGGTGTTGAAAAATAGCAATATTAATTTTTTTTTTTTTGTTTTGAAAAAACATGCACTAGAAAGCATGTATAATTTGTTAAATATTTTAGTATGACTGATAAAATATTTTTAAATTTTACAGGAATTTTTCTTTGACAATATATTGGTGGAGGATTTGAGTGAGAAGTGCCTGGCAATAGCAGTTTATCATCAATCACCACAAAAACTTCAAAAAGACGTTATCATTGGTGATTTGTATATCTCATTGAAGAATTTAAGTGAATTACGATCTAAAAAAGAAGTAAAAATTGTTGAAGAATTAAAACATCGCATCAATTCAAAGGTTAATATTTTGTTTTCGTATTCCAAGTCTTTTTATTTTTACAATTTTTTTTGCTTTAATCCTCAAATATTGCATTATTGATCGATTTTCTAAATTTTCACTTATTTTTCAGCGAATAATGAAGTGTAACAATATTGATCTGTTTTTTTGGTCTGAAAAATAAATTCCGCTATTTTTTTTTTTTGATAAGTTCATTAAATTTTGGTAGAATTTAAAAAAATTTTCTTTTTATTCTCATGCATATTTCTGGAAAATGAATTTCTAGAAGTTTAGTAACAAAAAAAAAAAAGATTGAATGAATTTAAGCGGAAGAAAAGGTAATTTTTGGAATGAAAACAAAAAAAAAAAGGAGAGAGAATTTAGTTTCAATTGCATCATTAGGAGTTTTTCGTTTTCTCTTTTCTGATTATTTCATTTATTTTTAGACACATAATGGAAATTTTATTTGCGCTAAAACATTTTGGCTTAAATTAGCTTTTTTTTTTTGCTTTTCAAGTCTTGAAAATAGCGTCTGCTGTGATTGGTGGGAAATCTTGTTATTTTTCCCTCTCCCTTTTTTTGTTCTTTTATAATTTTTAATTAGCCTGTGAAGTTTCATTAGCGTTGGAGAAATCAAAGATAGATATCAGATTTAAAAATTGTGCCCTCGCAAAAAAAAAAGCTTAAAAAAACTTCATTAAGGTAAAAAAAAAAGTTTTATCTCAAAAAATAGAATAAGAAAAGTTTTTTCTTGAAATTAAAAATTTTAATTCCAAAGCAAATAAATATTTAGACAAAAAATATTTTTATGCTAAAATTATTTTAAAAAATTGCTAATAATTTTAAAATTAGGTTAAAAAATTTGAGAGCTTTATGGAGGAATACTGTACAGTGAGGAATAATTTGTGAAAACTACTGAAAGCAATAGAAAAATCGAAGTATCCAACTTCTGAACCGAAATATGCACAAAATATTTGGCCCTAACCTTTAATAAAATAAATATCTCAAAAATTAATGGATCGGTTATTTGCAATCGAATAACTTACATTTTTCGATTACAGAACGATTTATTAAGCATGGAAACAATAGCATAAAATAGAATGAAATTTAATCAAACTTATGTATGATATGAATAATAAAAAGCAAATTTTTTTCCGGAACGAACACCAAAAATTAAATTATAAGTTTGGTTTTACTTCAGAGCGTTCTAAATTATAAATGGAATTATTTTTGCTAATTTTGTTATCATTTTTTGTAAATTATACAAATTATTTGAAATATTCTCAAAGTCTGTTCAAAATATTAAGAAAAAATTTCTGAATTATCTTTTGATTTTAAAAATATTTTTACTCATTCATAAAACAAAAAAAATTTAACGATAATTTTTTTTAATTTTTGATCCTCGAAGTTTAATATAATGAAAAAATTGATTCGTAAAATTGCACAATTTTATTAAAATAATCTTACGCTAATTGCAGCAAAACAAAAAAAAAAA